CTCTGCGATTCTCCACAGAGTACTGATGTGGCCATGAAGACAGTGTGGACACACCAATGCCTCCACAACAGTGACTATAAAAGGCAGGGGTCCCAGTGGTCAGCATCACTCGGCAGAATGCTGACGGAATGTGCAGCATGGTCATGGTTGACAGTATGCGCGCACCACTCAGTGGCGAGCTGGGACGCAAGGGCCACTAGCAGAGGAGGTGGACAGAACGTGTCCCTCAGCAGCTCCAGGGTTTCCACCTGATGTTTTCACATGAACAAATAAAAACAGCAAGGTCCCTCAACACCGCACCCTGCTACTGGGATGGCTCTCTTTTCAACTGAAACACTGCCTGTTTAGGAAAGTCAAGCCACTTACGCAAAGACCAACTTAAAATTTTTTTGAGGAAATGGTAGAACTCTGCCTTACATTTAAAGGTTTTAACTGAAAGTAATGAATTATTCTGAGGTACAACTAGAAAGGAGCACACTAGTACTCTACCAGTAGCAATTGAGCAACAATCTCTGTTCAAAATTAGGGTTAAATGATCACAATCAATTTTTACTAAAAAATAATTTCCCTTCAGTTTTATACAAGTGGAGTAAGTTCCATTTCATTTGTATTAACTCCATTAACATGTTTTAGCTTGGTGATCGTAACTTCACATATACATGGGTGAGCGTGTCTCCAGGTGATACGGATGTTGGTAGTTCAGAGACCCTACTATGAAAATCAATGACTTAGGCTTTTTATCAAATATGTCCAATGCTTTTAGGAGGACACAACCAATTTTCATTGCAGGATATTAAATGTGAAACCAGAAACTCTCGTTTCTTACTCATAATTTTCCCACCTAAGCTACATAAAACAATTCTATCTCCTCTTACATGTGGCAGTCATTCAAATATATGGGGGAAAAATCCCTCTCTTTAAACATATCACCAGTTTCATGTAGACATCTCACTTTCCATACTATTTGGGGCTTTCATCATTCTGGCAGCCTCCCTACAGACACTACAGCTCATAGTGCCCCTCTTAATACATGGCATTTATAATTAACACAATAACATACCAGATTTAGTCTGAATAGCAGTATACAGCCAAGGTCTCCCTCTCTTGTCCAGATTGGAGAGCAGTGAGGCATGACGATAGGTCATTGTAGCCTTGACCCTCTGGGTTGAAGTGATACTCCTGCCTCAGCCTTCTGAGTAGCTTGGACCACAAGCAAGTGCCACCACGCCTAATTATTTTAACTTTTAGCAGAGATGGGATCTCTAGGTTGCCCAGGCTCATCAAAGACTCCAGGCCTCAAGCAATCCTCCTCCCACCTGAGCCTCCTCGAAGGGCTGAGATTAAAGGCGTGAGCCCCTATGCCTAGCCAGCATGTGTGCTCTATCACATCTCCTAGAAAACAGCAGTGTTATAGCTACATCAAGTCTTTTCAACAGCTGTATCACGGCACTTACCCAAATGCCAGTCTAGGGACTGATACCAAAACTTGATATATTTTTCTGTGTTCCAGAGCAAATGAAAAAAATAACAGTAATTTTTCATCAACGTAAAGCTACTATTCAGGTAAAATACTCTGTTACTCTACATTTATCTTCTTTCTAAATATTGGGAGTTACTTTTAAAATAAAATGGTAATGGAAGATGGTAGCTGTTTTTTCAAAAGACCTTACGTGGCATAACAAAGTTTCGCATTTTACAATCTCTTTAAAAATACTCATCTAGTACTCTAAAATACTCAGGTGATTTATCTTCTGCTAACATCTAGGGAGCCAGGAGCTTAGAATAATTTCAAGACTTTACAGCCTTTCACAACCTCTACTGCCACTTTTTTGTTAATTTATGGCAGCAAAGTAAACCTCCCACTGGGTTTCAGTCAATCAGAGGGTTCCAAAGTTATTTAACACTAATTCTCAAGAGCTTTTAGTTTCCTCTACCTATTTCCCACTTACCTTTGTGATCCTAAATAAGATTCAAACCCGGCCAGACTACATCAAGTTAAGAGAGGGCTGGGATAAGTACATTTTGCTGTTCAGATTATTAGCCAACTTTTGAACCATAAGCAAATGGCACCACATAGGACAAAAGACAGCAAATTACAGCCCACAGGCCAATTCTATTTACCAATCCTTAGTAGAGGGGAATGAACCATCTGCTACCAAAGCAAATTTTGAGATCTGTAACAAAAACCATTAACTAGCTCCAGACAGCAAACATCCACACAGGAATATCTAAACACACACACTAAAATATCTGAATAGTTGTGTTTATCCTACTCTGTGTGAAGATTTGTTGTTCAACCAAGACAGAGCACTTACCTGCTTAATGAGCTAATCTTTAACATACATTTCTCAAGAATTCAATAGTAGAAGAGTGAGAATCCATGAATATGCTGCTCTGTGTAATCTAAGGTTAAAAAGAAAAGTTGCCACCAAACAACAAAAGTATATGCAAAGCAACTGAATAGAACTACATGGTAGTCTCCTTAACATTTAGATTATAAACACAAAACATGTTTAAAGGCACTTGAAGTAGAAACGTTAAAGTATGACAATTTAGGTAACATTAACTCAATTTAAAAATGCAAACCCATTTCTCCTTTGTGTTACATAATAAGACTTTCGTTTTCATGTACATGGAGTTGAAATCAAAAGATTATCACTAATCTACTTCGGCCATGTAACTATTTAACATACGTGACATAAGACTCTTTAAAAAATAAAGTCATTGCATCAAAGTACTCAAGAGATCACCTCCATGTTTTACAAATGAAAAAGTTTGAATGTGACATGAAATACTTAAGTTCAGAGAACTAATAAGTAGCAGAAACAGAACTAGAACCCAATACTCAACTATTTTTACTTTATGACCAGGTAAGAAAGATATATTTAGAAAGAGTAGAGTAATATTGAAATATTCTAGAGTTTTTTTTGTTTCATTTATTTAGGGATGAGATCTTGCTATGCTGTCCAGGCTAGTCTCAAACTCCAAGGCTCAAGTGATCCTCCCACCTCAGCCTCCCAAAGTGCTGGGATTAGGCATGACCCATCGTGCCTGATCAGTTTTTGTTTTGTTTTGTTTTGTTTCTAAGATAGGGCCTTGCTGTGCTGCCCTGGTTAGTCTCCAACTCCTGGAATCAAGTGATTCTCCTGCCTCAGTCTCCCACATAGCTGGGACTATAGGCATATGTCACCCTGCCCACTTCCAGTTTCAAAAGTGCAATGAACATACTCCTAGTACTACAGCCCACCCAACTTAGAAACCTTCTTGTCTTCTTTAAAATCAATCAAATATAAAATTATAGAAAGATGAAAAATGATTAATTGTAACCAACTCTTATTAGAATGATCAAAGAAACAACCAATTGTTTGCTTAACAAATTGTCAAAGGTTAGAAAAAAATCATGATACCAGTGAAGGGGCAGTTTGATGTGCACTCATATATTACTAATTTGGCACAATCTTTTGAAGGGTAATTGGCAATATTTTTAAAGAGCCTAAAAAGTTCTCACTGTTTAAGCCACTTATTCCATTTCCATGAACACATTCTAAAGAAAGGGACTGATCTGGAGTTCAAGCTTTACATACAAGGAAGTCCATCTCACTATTACTTATAATGGGAAGAGATTAGAATAACCTAATATCCAAAGAGAGAAGTGGTTAAATTATGGTGTATGCATACAATAGAATTATTAGGTAGCCGTTTTTAAAATCACATGTTCAAAGACATGAGTAAGTATTTATGATATGAAGTTAGATGAAAAAAAACCAGAGTACATAACTATATGGTCAGTATAATCTCAAGTTTGTTATTACACACACACACAAACACATATACACACACTCATACATACAAATTAGCATAGACATCGACTGAAAAAATACAGAAAAATATTAACAGTATTATCTCTGGGTAGTGAGGTTGCAGATAATTTTTTCCCTTTATACTTTTCAGTATTTTTCACATTTTCTATAATAATCAGGTATTAGTGTTATATTCAAAAAAACATTATTTTAAAAATTCACTCTGTAGTCAATTTAAAAATTTTTATAGTCCATATTAAACAAGGAATAAATATTTATAGTACTCAAAAAGATATCTAAAAGATGGAAAATAAATTACTAATGTTTAAGAGTACAATTTCCCCACACATAAAGGTAGGTAATTTTGAGTCTAAAAAGTAACATTATTTTGTCTCACTCTTGAGTATAGAAAGTTGATATTTAATAAATAAGAAATGTAAATCTGTAAATAAAATTGGTGCAAGGCATCTAAAAATTGTGCTACTCTGGCATAACACTGAAGACATAAACACTCTCCAATACAATGTAGATACCCAGTGTTAGATTAAAGTAGGTACAATGTAGTACATACATAGTGGCCAAATAATTAACTAACGGAAATACATCTTTTTTCCCCCCACCAAAGTGACTAGAATTGGTCTCCACTTAAGAAAGAAAATACAACACCATACCATTATTTTAGTTGGAAGAGCCGCACCAAAAATCATGACCAAAAAATTATAAAACTATAAAAAAATTAAGTGGTTTGTTGTTAATGATTTCTTGCTAAAAATTCAAGTAAAAGTGTCAAAATGCTTAAAGTACTAAAAAAAATAGCAGTATATTGTCTGCAATGATTTGATAAACACTAAGAACACCCTTCAATGTTTCCTCATTTGCAGACTATCAAACACAATCTTTGAAGTAAAGGACTACATCTAGGTTCTTTTACCAATCTTGAATATGTGTTCTATTACAGTATAGTAATGACACAAAAGGATGCCACACACAAAAAGGGAAACTGCAGATAATTTTAAAAGTTATCTTTAAGATTATATAATTCTAATTTTTATAAAATCGCATAAATATGTAATATAAAATGCATCCTAAAATATTTTTACGAAGAGCTGAGGTTTACCATTTTTAACAAAAATTCTGAGATGGAATTAATAGAAAACAATTTTCATATATACCACAGAGCAATAAGTTTAAATCAGACTATTTTGAGTTGTGTAGCCCTTTATTAGCAACTAAAATAGAAGGTATCTGTTGTACAACACGGGTAGTCATTGACTATAACTGGAGATTTATTATATTCTAATACAGATCATTTATAAATGCAATTTCTTTATTAAAAAGCTTCCACCTTTTTTGTTTGTTGTGTACAATTTGCAAAACTATTCTGAAAGCGGAATATATGTGCACAAGTCTGCAAAGAGTGCAAATTTAGGATATGGTAAATGCTTTAAAAGTTACTTTCAAAAAGCGACCTGCCACAACTGGGCTTTACACTGTCATCTTTTTTGATCAAAATATTTTGAGCCAGCCTTCCTTCCACTGCCCTAAACTATAAAGCATTTTTTAATGAGTTGAAATTAAGGAAGGACTACACCTACTAGAAAAGAAGAGAAGAAAGTTCTATTAGTTTGAGGTTTCAGAATCCCCCCCAAACCAGGACCAGTGTCTGGTAAAGGCTAGGCTGGGACCCCAGACAGAGTATGAGAGTGTGCAGGTGGCATCCCTGAGGATTCGAGCTTCAGTGGACCGTGAGTGCTCCCGCTGCATAACTCACTGAACTGTCTTGCCAGTTTCTACACTGGCTTGATTGGGCATAATTCAAAAAGGAAAAGCTCATATTCATTCCGTTCTTCTGGAGCTCTGTGATAGCCTAAAAAAAGAAAACTGTGGTTAGGACCGATGTCATATAAAACATGAGTACTTTTTCAATGTGTTGGTGGTATGACCTTGTCGACCTCACAGCTGAAACCTAGACCTTTCACTCTTTCTCGTTCCTTAAGTTTCTCTTGTTGCATCATATTAAATAGAAACAAGAGAAGTCCTCATATTTCATGATCTCAAAGAACTTCTCCTAATCTAGTTTATTGATAATTAAATATCAGTCATTATCTATTCTGCCTCTCCCTGCAATTAATAAGGCCACTTTTTAAAACTTTTTGTTTAACTTTTCAAATGTATTTCCTTCTATTCTACAAATCAAATCCTGGCTACTCTGAAGATGTTGACCTCTTTTCTTTGTCTAACTTTGACTAAATTTAAAGTGCATATAAACTAAGTTCTAGATCTAAGAGGTATATAATAGAATGTTAACTCTGTGAACTGGTTCAGCATTTACTTTATAATGAAAATTTTATTTGATTCAACTCAGACTTCAGGAAAATAGTACAGATTATTCTAGCTTAACTTTCAGAAATAACTTTAAGCTCGACAGGTTTTCCTTTCAATCAATACTGATTAAAAGAAAAACCATTCCTACAAACCCACAATACACTATCTTTCAAATTGCATGAAAATGACCCTGGACTTCCAAGTCCCACTCTGGACCATTCCCCAGACTGCACCACCTTCTCTGTTATTTCCTGGTCTCTCCAAATAAATACGCCACTCTTTCTTTCACTTTTCATACCTGAGTATATGCCTTCTTCTCTCTTAAGGAGAGTCACACTTTCTTTTAGGAAATTCATACTGTCTTCTTTATTAGAAGAAAAATTAACATTATACCTCTTTCTAAAATGCAATTAACTGAAACTTCTGCCTCTCACCATTCTTTAAATAAAATAAGCATTATCTTTTTAGTTTTAATGAGAAAAGCATACATGTCGTGTCTCTTGCTTTATTAAATTATGAACACTTAAGAGTTCAAGAGCAGAATCTTCCATTAATTTTTTTTTTTTTTTTTGGAGTCTAGAACACTAAATAAAACCAAAAAAGTTAGTAAGACCTTATCTCTTGAAAGATGACTTTGGTATTTAACAGAAATTGTTAACCTGTATTCCAGTGATAAATAACTATATTCAAGCAACCAAGAGTAATGGAAATCCAAATTATGTTAAAGACTCTAGAAAGAAACTTGACCATATGTACATAAAACCAATGATAACAATGTATCACAAAGATAACACTTAATATATTGTAGAACATCACATGATCAAATGTTAAAAGTCAAGACTTTCTAAGGATACTCACATTTAATAACACCCCAATGGGATGTCTGCCACATATAGTATTATGGTATTTCTTCAAGTAATTGCTAAAAGATACAGGGTCTAATTGTTCTATAATACTCATACCCTAAAAGAAAAAGAAGAGGAAGAAAAAGAAAATGAAAACAAAAAAAGGGCATTTATTATCTCTTAATTATATTTTAAAACTGTTACTTAGAACTAAACCTGATTTTTCAGTTAAGGAGCTAAACTGAAAATACATTAACAAATTACAAAACATCATTCATCCAAGGTAATCCCCTCAGAGTCAGCTCTCTTGACAGAAAACGTGTGACCTCCAGTTTACTTTCTCTCACCTACTACTATGTTTCTACACTAACTTCACCAGTTGTCACTTAGCTCACAGTCCTCAAACACTTAATCATTTATATTTTCCTTATATAAAGAACATCTACAAGATTAAATCTGCTGTAAAAATACTTATATTAAATCTAAAATTAAAATTTAATTTATGGCTTTTCCCCCTATCCATTATATTCCTTCTGCTATGGCATGAGAGATCAAGAGTTAACTGTAATTTAACTATTTCTGTAACATATACTTAAATACCAACAGTGTGTAAGGCATTTGAAATTACCATCAAAGTATGTGATTTAAAATACCACAAACTGAGATAATAGTAAATATTCTGATTAACTTAAAAATCATAAAAGATTGATGAAGGTTTAAGCAACAAAGATCTTTTATGAACAAGTTTAATAAAGATTTTAAATTTCAGCCGGGCTCCGTGGCTCAGCCTGTAATACCCCGCCTTTGGGAGGCTGAGGTGAGTGGATTGCCTGAGCCCGCGGGTTCGAGACTCGCCTGGGCAGCAAGACCTCATCTCTACAATAAATCAAAAAAAATCAGCCCGGTGTGGTAGCACATGCCTGTAATTCCGGCTACTTGGAAGGCTGAGGCGGAAGGATCGCCGGAGCCCAGCAGGTGGAGGCTGCGGTGGCCGGGAGCAGCCACTGCACTCCAGTCTGGGTGACAGAGTGAGACTCCAACTCAAAAAAAAAAAAAAGGATTTTAAATTTCTTTATACTTTAAACTAGAATGCATTATTTTCAAGATTTTAATTCATAATCATATTTTTTTAGATCACTGCTGAGGCAATCACTATGACTTGAGCACTTGTTTTATACTATGTTCTGCACTCCAAACACATTCAATAATGTATTTGTCATTCGTTCATACAAAGCAACATGAACTCTTCTAACTAATTCATCAATTACATTATTTTCTTATGCAGGTAACACACTTTACATTTGTGTTCAATAAACTAGATTAATATCCTCTGGGTGAACGGTGGCTTAACTGGGAAATTAACTGGTATACTGTTTGTTTTTGTTTTCCTGTCTTTTAAATTTCACTTAACAAAACAAGCACAGTGTAAAAGCACTGGGGGTAATCAGATGAACGTTCACCATTAAAAAGTCATCTGGAAGAGACTGTAATCAGAAGGTGACATGCAAACTTTGCACTAGCAGCACTAAAACTAGGCTTTATTTTTTAAAAACTTGTTTCAGAATATTCAAGTCCTTCATGAACTATCGGTTTTCCTACGAAAAATATCTGGATAGACAGGTATTTGCATGTGTGGTCAGCTCTGATTCACCTGCATACCAGTTAGTCATTCTCAGACTGATCCATAACCATGTGCTAAAAGTTGGTTTTCCCTGCCGACCAGCAGGCATCAAGGTCAATGATCCACTGACACCTGGTACACGCAGTAGATTCCTAATCCGAGAAGTAGTAATGCAGAGATGGAATTATAAGTCTCTTCCATAAATACGGGACCATCAGGATACAACTCCCCTACAGGTGAAAAAGGTAAAAATCCTGGCTATAAATCTCTCATCCTAGGCTGCTTCTGACGACTCATTCATCACAATATAGCAAGAGTCATACTAACAATTCTTTCAACACTTTCACACAGCTGGAACGCACATAAATGCTGAAAGACAACTTTTAATGCTTCTCAATAAAATCTATCTAGGACAGCTTACCTTAAATAGAATTCTACTCATTAGTAAATTATGTGACACTGAGATTCCAATGTACATTTTAAGACTAAAACCTCAAAGCACATTCAGAACAAACTTATCACATTGATATACCGATATGAACTCAAAGACAAGAAAATTAATGATCACATTTACAGAAGACAAATAATTCAAAGTAACTGGCCACGAAAACATTAATATAGAAAGATGTAAGGTTATAAATGTAGAAGACACTACTAAATCAAGAGTTCAAAATGAAGATATACTGGTTAAATTATAATAGAGAAAATTAAAAATCAAGGTGATGGAAGCTAAGGGATTATGCTAACATTTTAATTCCTTAATGTGTTCTATGTACCTACTAGGGCAAAAATCAGTTCCATTACACTCAATTCTCTGATAAATATGACAGTTTAAGAGGTATGCCTCTTTATAAGGAGGAAGAGAGGGACAAACTAAAGCTTTTCTCACATGTGAACCTCTACAACTGGAAAATTCATGAAGTATGCAAACAAAACAAGATAGATAGTAAAATTTAGAAATGAGACATCCATTAATTAATACAAAACACTGGCAAATACACCTTTGTATATACTTATGTTTTGATGCTAACAACTGTGAAATTACTACTAGCAAAATTCCAAGAAGACAGAAATGCTGGTTCAATGTTATTGTCAAAATTCCAAGAAGATGAAAAAGTGCTTCCCCAAATATGCCTAATTAAAATACTTTCAAATACTGAAAGATGTGATCAGTGAGTCTAAAGTCCAGGCAACAGAAAGCTTTCTAGTGCTTCTATGGTGAAAATGTAATTATTCATATAAACTTTAATATGAAACAGTGAAATCGGTCACTACTCATTCTAAAATATAAGGCAGACATTGTAAACACCAAAAGCCTATCCATCAAGAATACAGGGTTTCTGAGAAATTTAACAGTTTCAGCAAGATATCTGTAGATTTACAGCTAACCTCTTAATTTTAGGGCAGGAGTGAATCGATCATCGTGCTCACTCTCCAACTAATGAGTGAAAGCTTGGAATATCAAATTCCAGGTGGCTATCCTCAACAGCCAGTATTAACTGGCAGATTTGCAATTCAGGACTCTGATGAGACAACAAATATACTTCTTTTTAAAAAAGTTTATCTACATTCAATAAAATGGCAATTTAAAAAGTATCACCCAGAAGTAAATCTCTCCACATAGTAGTAGCAAACTCAAAAGAGTAGCAATAACTTTTAAACAGGTATTTAAGAATTCCATAAAAACTAGAATCATGTCTTTTAATTATGACCACATAATTAACACCATATTATCAAATCGTTAGAACTGTGGACTCATATTTTAAAGGATATACATTTGTATTTGAGGAGGGGTACACATTTAGGGAAGTGAGATTGGGGAAAAAACATATTCCAGTTTCTTTAAGAAGCATCAAGATAAAATCATAACAGTGAAAGAAATTCTATGGAAAAAAATCGCCCTGCAAAGATAGGAGTGCTAAGATGTAATGTACTAATAAATGGCTATCTTACAGATACTGTTATCAAAACCTACTAAGAAGCTAATAGCCTAAGTTCAGGAGAAAGAATTATGAGTTGGCAAAAGAAACAATTTTCACTTTTAAAACATTAAGAAGAAAAGCAGTTGATATTCAAATTAAACAGTGACTAATAAATCTAAAAGGAAAAATAAGTTGTAGTAGATGGCTACAATGACATTTTCAGCTTCTCCCTGCTAAATCGTATTAATTTGTTGATGTCTACAATGAAGCACTGGCCTACAGCAAAAAAAGCGAGACAGTAAAAGTGGTAACACACGACCACGTGACAAATACAAAATATGTACAAGTATTCTAATAGTTCAAGTAAGGATCCTAAAGTTCACAAAATCAATGTCTTAAGATTTGTTCTGCTTTAGTCACAGTAATTATTAAAATTGCAAAGTATTAACAGTCAAAAAGATTGATCTGTAGCCAATAAAATTACAAGAAAACTTTCAGAATTTGCATCTCCCATGCTACAGTTATATTTTCTTTTTCCCAGCCATAACATTTGGAAGATAGTTTGTTTTCCCATATATTTTTCTTTCTTTTGTGTTTTTTCACATAATTAATTTCCAAGATTTGCAAATGTTAGAGACAGAAGCATTCTGCAACAAGAAGAACAACTATTTTTCTTTTGCATTTGGAACTTAGAAATGGTTTTATTTTCTAGCATTGTGATAACTACATTTAGTAAGACTTTTCTGATAACAAAGGACTGAGACTCAATTAATACACTAATTTTCAACAGCTATGACCTAAAATTTTATATTTAAAAATCATCTTTACTCTATCAAACTTTCAAAATGTACACTTATTATTGAAATTCAGAATTACTAACATTTCTGTGATACATTATGTAATACAGAAAAACATCCAAGTATATCTTCTCTGAAAGACTACATATAGACACTAAGAGACTGCTTCTCACATAAACTATTTAAAACATAAATGACCTCTTAGAATAGAAATATGCAAAGGTATACTCACCATCTGATTATATAAATCAATTAAAACAACACATTACATAAGTCTTAACAGTCAGTGTGTATATAGAGATAAATCAACACATACACACATAAGTTTACATCTAGAGCTAACTATTCTTATTATTTTGATCCATGTATTCTAACTTAAGTTGAATTAGCAGTATGCTAATTACCAGTATGTCAATAAAACAGAACAGTTATGAACAACTTAAAAATTCTATATATAAATAAAAATATTCCAATAAGGAAATCACAAAAATCAACTCCAAATCCAAATTTTAAATCAAATATTGAATTCAACCACATGAATTTGAAGCAAACACTCAATATTTATTCATAAATTAAAGTCTGGGTTATTTAAATAAAAATTTTAAAATTATGTTCTGGTAATTTGGGACATCTAAAGGAGGTAAATCAGAGGCAAACTTAAAGGTCAACCTGAGCTATTATATGTAACTTATTCTTTAAATTAACAAAACTGTCTAATGAAGCTAGCAGAAAAGGCAACAATTTCAGAAGTTATGAGAATTTCATCAATGGGTAGATG